CTGTTCGATTATTAGATTAAGTTTGGATAGAAGCGTTATTTCTTGCTCTAGGGGCAAATTATCAATGTTTTCATTCAACCATACCAGAGTAATATTGTCATTTAGTTCATCTGCAGGAATTCGTTGCATGATTTCTACATATGAAATAATCTTACCTGTTTTAAAACATAATTCATCTTAATTTTTTTCAGATTGATGAAAGCAGTGTCAATAATAGTTCAGGTATTAACACGTTAGATCCAGGCATCGTATACAATGATTTCGTTATTTATAGATAGATCATTTTATTCGTTATTTATAAATAGATCATTTTTTTCTCAGAAATAGTTCTATTCTTTTTCTTGGTACTCTACACAATATTCATACTCTGTTTCTGCCTGATGTATTTTTCTAGATGAAACGCTAAACAGATGCTTATTTAAAGGGTTTTCTGCATGATTCAATCACAAGTGTTTATAAAACTAATAACGCAAGAAATAACACTTCTATCCAAACTTAATCTAATAATCGAACAGGTTTACTTATTCTCAAATGTAAATGATTGTATAGACTTTATTGAAACAGTTGTAAATAAGAAGGTATTTTTAATTATTACAGTTTTGTTAGAACAAGAAATTTTAACCAAAATTTATGCATTACCTTCTGTCAGTTTAGTGTTCATCTACCATGATGATAATAGTCAGCAACATGATGATGAACGTGATAAAAGAGATGATGCATTTTCTAAATTCATGGGTATATTCACCGAACCAGAAACGTTGTTAAAATGTATTCGATCTAAAATTCGTTTGATATCACGTTGTGAAACCACAACAGTTTTTAGTTTATTTAGTCGAAATCAGAAATCAACACGATTGTTATCGAAAGAGCGTGCCTCATTTCTTTGGTTTCAGTTACTAGTTAGCCTATTAGAGCAAATGCCAAATACTGAACAAGCCAAACAAGAAATGATTAGTAAATGCAAAGAATACTATCAGACGAGCACTATCGAACTGAACAAAATTGAACAATTTCAAACACTGTATAAATCAGAGGATGCCATTAAATGGTATACAGCAGATTGTTTCCTATATAAACTTATAAATAAAGCGCTGAGAACCGAAGACACGAATTTATTGTATTTATTTCGATTTTATGTGATTGATCTATGTCAACAACTCAAACAGGAGCAAGAAAAACAAACACTGTCTGAAACAATAATATTATATCGTGGTCAAATAATGCCACAACAAGAGTTGTATGAACTACAACATAATATTAGTATATATATAGCAACAAATGGTTTCTTTTCCACCACACGAGATAAAAAAGTTGCACTCAGCTTCATCAATTTGTCTAACAATGCAAATGAAACGGTACAAAACGTATTATTTGAAATTACAGTTGATTTTAAGATAAAAAATGTTGTTTACGCTGATGTAGCTCAAGATAGTCAAATGGAAGAAGAAAAGGAAGTTTTATTTAATATTGGCTCAATCTTCTGTATTGACAGTGTTGAATTTGATCACAAACTAAAACTATGGATAATTCAAATGTCTGTTGTCGATAATAATTTAAAAGATATTCAAGAACACATCGAAATTGTAAAAGAAGAACTAAAAGACACAACGCCTAATGTCATGTACGGACGTCTTCTACTAAGAATGGGACAATATGATAAAGCGGAGAACTATTTTAAATTAATGATACAGACATCATCATGTGATGATCATCTAAATATAGCATCGGCCTACACTAATATTGGAAATGTATGTCTGATTAAGAACGACATCGAACAAGCACAACATTATTATAAACATGCTTATGAAATTAGAATAAAATTCTTACCAGAAGATCATTTACATATCGGATGGTCGCTGTATAATTTAGGGCGGGTTTCACATAAACAAAACAATTATGATGAAGCTCTTAATTATTTTCAGTTGGTTTTACATATATACGCCAAATATTATTCAACAGATAATATTTACACAGCAAGGGTTCTGGAAAACATGGGTAGAGTATACAATGATAAATCGAATGCAAACAAAACGCTTGATTATTTAACCAGAGCACTTGAAATGTATCGGAGACTATTTCCCGCACAACATTTCGAAACGGCAACAGCTTTGTGGAATATAGGTTCATTTTATAAAACACAAGAAATGTATGATAGGGCACTCTGTTACTTTGAACGTGCACAAAACATGTTTGAAGTAACATTACCCGTTGATCATCCAAATCATGCACAGCTATTGAATGACATTTCTATTACAAAAGCATGTAAATCTGAAAGCGAACTTACTCTCTGACAACGACGAACTATTACTTGAAACCATCCAGTTTTACTACAACCATTTTTATTTGGAAGAATTCTTACGTAGTTATCGTAGTCGCAAAAAAATAGTGATTTCAATCAGCTGGATCGTTTCGTCTATTATCATTGCCACGAGATTCAGCGTAGTCGATAACCGATGTTTCCATGCATTTTGGACGTTCCCACAAGTCAATGTTACCGAAGTCGTAGCTCTCCGGATCATGGTGGATCATGGCTCAGAACTGTTGTTAGATCAAGAGTTCGAACTTGCGTAGAATTGAGGGGGAGAGATTGGAACAGTCAAAGCCCCTCTATTGAAATCAAGTGTCTTGAAGTTCTAAAAAGTGGTAGATAGTTCAAAAAGTTTTGACGAAGTTTACCATCTGCAGGTTATTTGAACGAGCGCCACAGTGAAAAAATGCCTAGCTTCACTATATTTTGAAATGAATAGTAGTTGACTCTGTATACTGAAGGCATCGCTAAAAGAACTGCTTAGTTAACAAAGAACCGATGCTATTTGCGTTACGAAAGACTTTTAAAAGAAAATTTTTTTCGCAATCGATAGAGAATTTGCCATAGATTCTGCATATGTGTTTGTTTTTGTAAATGGTTACTCTGGTTTTGGACATATTCCAGTTTTCCTATAGCACCATTGTTTTCGGTCCAATATTTCCTAGCGATTTTCCAACTAAGGTTCGCACTTAGAAAACAACTTCAAATGGCAAAAAGATAGAACATTTGCGATGTATATAACCAGCTATTTAAACCTTGAAAAAGTGCATTTTTGTTTTTTCCCCTAATGTCTACGTTGTTTCCCACTGTGTAGCTTGCAGATATCATGCGTTAGATAGGTCAATGCATCAGCTGTGGAGGACCTTACTCTAAAACCGAACTGACGAGCTTTGTTAAAAGAATTGTTTTCGTCAAGATGAGTAATCAACTTGTCGAGAACAATTCTTTCCAACGCCTTGCTGTTATCGGAAAGCAAAAAAATGGGTCTATAACTTTTTACTGCCGTTCGGTCTCCTTTTTTTAAAGATCAGTTTTATAATTGCATTCTTCCACAGTAATGAGATTTGCCATTTTTAATTGATCGATCAAATAGGTGTTGGAGTTGTGGAGCAAGAACTTCAGCGCCTTTTTTTAAAAATTTAACAGTGACGTTATCGGTACCGATCGACTTTTTATTCTTTAGTTGAGTAATAGCTGAGAAAACGTCCGGTACAATAATTTCAAATGTTTTTATTTCAATAAGTTTAAGGGTTCGATTTGGTAGAAATGATGGTTCTTCTATCGTAGAAAATGGATTTGCAAAATGTTTTTTACTAAATGCGTCGGCTTCCGGTTTACCGTCACTGCCAATGCTGCGTATGAAACTGTAACTCTTATGTCTGATGTATCTTTACGGAATTAATTTATATCTGAACAAAACCGGTCCTTGAATTTTTTCATGATCAATTCTAGTTTTTGTGTTTTTTCTTTTCTCAACAAGGAAATGTTGCGAACTGTTGTTGTGCGCAACAAACTGTTTCTCTCCACTCTCAGTACGTTGACGCTTCACCCGTCTAAATGTATCATTTCTCGTAGCCATAAATTTACGCAAATCTTTTGACATTTTATCTTATGTTTTACCGATAAATTACTTTTAACAATTTCAACAGTTTTCATTCCCAAGGTATTCAAAAAATATTCTGTTTTGAAACAGATAGTAGTTTCTCCACAGAAATAGGTCAGTCTTGACTAGTGGAGCCTACAAGTCTTCATCTTTTATGTAGAGTTAATAAATCTATTAGACTCCAGTCTATATCATTTTAAAACGGATAATAATGTATAGAAATTTATTTATATGTATTTTTCAAATTTGTCGAATGTAAATTAACAAAAAAATACGAGAAACAAAAAATGATATTTCGTGTTGCCTGGCAAGTGTCACAAACCGAAAGCGTCTTTTAAACCCTTAACGTAACATTTTATTATTTGAGTTCATTTTTGACGGTAAAACAGTCTTTGCAAGAAAACGATCTAATGGACTCGAAACGACTTCGAACTATGTTTCATTTTACACTTCTCAACACTCATGGCTTTTTTAGAATTTGCTTTTCGCTCAATGAAATCTAAAATTTTGGTCATCTTTCATTTGATTATCAGTTGACGAAAAGTCATTTGCTTTGTATCTCAACCTTTTGCATCGATCTAAAAGTGCTATAAACAATATTTTCAAAGGTACCCTCATACAGAACGACTATCCTAATAGTGGAAGTATGCACTGATTTAAACTCTCTATCTTCAAATAATAGAAGACGATCCACTATTACAAGAGCGCTGCTGACGATGGATTAACCCTTTACCCCCTATAGCGGTTCCAGAAGAGCCACTGACAAAATAACTTTATTAATGAAGTACTAGCCCCCTAGTATGCCAATGGTGCGGTCTGATCCACCGAATGTCCTGGCCCTAGAGTAGAGCGGTTTGATTGATCTCACAATCCTGTGGTGGAGGAAGGGAATTGAACTACATTGTAATACTTGATTTATTTTCTTTGGCCACATTATTGAGTAGGCCGAAACAACATCTACCCCGTGCTACTAGAGTAACGGAAAAAAGGCAAGGAGTGAACCGTTAAAATTTAAAACCAAAGAATACATGTATTTTTTACACGTGTTGTCAGGTTATAGCCTAGTGTGCTCTGAGCCGTTTTATAACCTCTGAAGAAATGTAATTATTCATAAATACGATTTCGACTTGTCATGCGTTAAGCTTTATAATATATGTATTAACTTCGTTCTTGATTACCCTCCATCTGCCACATAGTGGCTACATGGTCAATTGTGTCCCTTTGTATGTGTAATTCTCGAAGCTCGTATGAAACTTTCGAAACATATTTAATTCACCAGAGGGCTTCTTCATCAACTAATATCACACAGCAATTTCACAAAATCTCTGTTGGCTACGAGTAGAGAACATTTTGTTTCAAAATTTTCGATTTTTTTCATTTTTCAAAATTATTGATTTTGTAGACCCGATATTTCTGTAACGAAGCAATGAAGAGAAATGTTCTTTTTACCAAGCAATTGCCCATGAAGTTTGCTACAAAAAAGGTTCTTATCGTTTTTGAATCCGATGTTTCCTTTAGTTTCTGCAATTGTTCTACAAATGGTCACTTCAGTGGCCAAGAGGGGGTAAAGGGTTAAGTTAAAAACTAAAAATACGATAGAAAGATTCTTTTGTTTCTCTTTGTTTCAGTAATATTGAAGATTTTCATAGTAGCACCTCGAAGAAGACAAAAGTTAGTTTGAAATAAGGATATCTGATCTATACAAAGGGAAAGGAGAACGTCTGCGTATTACTATTGCTAGTTCAATTCACTTGTCGAAATCATGCACACTATTTACATCTGCTATGGAGATCGTATCGATGGATATTCTAGAAGACTTTTTAAACGAGTATTATTGCGTTTATTCCTTAATGCTCGTCACTTTAAGTTCGATGCCAAGTAGTGGCTTTCTATGTAACAAATCTCAATGCCAGTTCAACAAGTGGAGAAGTAATGCTAAGTTTCTATAGGTTTATTCGATAGAATTGAAAAGAAAAAGGACGATGAAGCAGAAAATTCTAATGAAGAAGTGAGTTTTATCAGAAGATGCTAGAAGAAATTAATTCTATACAGATTAATCTGTTTCACGACCTGACTCTGCTATGAACTCGATATGACCTGACAATCTTAGTCGACAGTTATCACCAGGTTCTGTAGACGTCCATATGAGTTTTTATTTGTCATCACGTGGATAACTCGAAACCAAACCGTACAGTTTCAATGATAACCCTTCTTATCTTTTGCAATTGCACAACCAATGTTGTGTCTGTAAAGTAATGCCGGAGAAGTCAGCTTCTTTCAAAGTTCCAGAGGCCAATTAGAATTTTGTGCTTATGACTTCATAATACCAGAAGATAATCGGTGTTGTCCGAAACATGTTTAATGTTCTCATTTTTGCAATTTTTAAAAGCCAGCAGTATTGGAAAGTGTAAAATGAAGCATTTCCAATAGTTCGAAGTCGTTTCGAGTTAAAATCATATTCGACTATTTTCTTGTAAAAAAAAACGTGTCCAGTTTTTTTCAATGAATATCAAGGGACAACTTTAAAAAAAAAGACTACAGTAATTTTATGTCCTGTTAACGTTCGCATTCCAAGATTTTTCATAGCATATTTGGTGTCTTAATTTATTTCGATATGGGTTTGAAAAGAACATACAACAACGAACAAAAACATAAAAGTAAAACATAGAATTTTTTTATTTCTAAATCAATAGATATACACATACACATATCTAGAAACAACGATTATTTACAAAACAAACATATACATATAACGAAAGAGACTATTTAACTTTTTAATTTTTTTGTTGGTAGTTGTTCTTGAGAATCATCGAATTGATTATCGTTTTCATGGAGAATTGGACGAGGCAAAGATGATGCAGACGATAATTGATCATCGATCGGCTTTGTCTCTACAGTAGAAGCCACTGTAGTAGTTAAAGAAGGTGTAAATACTTTATTGAATAATGGTAAATTTTCAGTAGATATTTGAACAATTTTGGGCTAAAAATAGTAAAAAAAAAATATTGTAAATAAATGAGACATATGAAGTGAACAATATTTCAACTGACAGATGATCAAAAATTATCTACATTTCAATAACAATCTTGTATTGAAGGTATAGAACACTATGCAGAATCTATTTAGAGGAGAGCGCGAAGAAATATCGTTCAGATACAATGGGTATTTTTTTGTTTTCTGTTCTTCTCCATACAGTCTCAACCTGTAGGGAATTCTTTTTAATCATAAGATGAGCCGCAAAATACTCTATAGAACCATACCTAAACTTGAATTTTAGAACTTAAATCAAGAAAACTACACAAATCAGACGAAAAAAAATGAAAACTTTGTAACATTGGTATTTTTTCGACCTGAACTTTTTTCTTCTGCTATTATTTCAGTAAAAAAGTGTCAATGTGAGAACTCAGTTTGTTTTGTACTTTCGTATGTGCTCTTTCTCGTGCTCTGTAAACACATTTTTTAGAGCAGAAGGTGCGTTCGAGAACATAGTTTCAAAAATACGTCAAAAATTGACAACCTCTCTTTTCCAACAATGTACTCAAGCAAGAAATGGAAAACATGATCGAAGCTTTGATTTTGCAGTTACGTAGAGAAGAGTAATCCTTTCTGATCAAAGAAAAACAAATCTAATTAAAAAATCTTTTGTTTTAATGAAGTTACAGAACTTTTACTGAAAGCACAATCATACGCAGAATTTAAAAAATGAATGAAGAAATGTGCGACAATTGACAGAAAACCTATTATTTCATCATGGATTTTGATGTGAAAAAATTTGAAGTGTAGCTAAAAGATAGAGCGATGTCAGGCCTAGAAAATGGCTAACTCAGTTTTTCTTACTTTCGAATTGTTAATTCAAGAAATCATTTTGGATTTTAGAAAGTTTTCACTTTTTTCCGCCTTTTGTCTAATTTGCTTAGTTTTCTTGATTGAAGTTCTGAAATCCAAGTTTAGGTATGGTTCTGTAGAGTATTTCGCGAGTATTTTCTTTTGATTAAAAAAATTCTCAAAAGGTTGAGACTGTATGGAGAAGGACAAAAAACAAAAACTCCCCACCTATATCTGAATCACCCGATATATAGCCTCTTTTTCGTGAAATATATCGTGAGATTCGTTCGATTACCTGATTTTGATCGTTATTTCCATTTTGTTGTCCATCGACCGTTGTTGATGACTTTTTAATAATTAAAGCCACTTTAGAAATAAAATTTCGTCTCTCAGGCATAACTCCTGTACCATTTGTTGATGGATCATTCAATATTGTTTGAGTCGATGACGGTCGAACAACACCATCATACACACTCAATTTTGAAGCCAAATTTGCCTAAAATAAAATCAATCAATATACGCATCTTTTTCAACGAACGAAACAGTCAAAAGTCATTCATCGGACGCGAGCATGTAGTGAACGATGGATAGTGGGCATTTTTTTTTTTTTTATTACTTACTTCGGCCATAATGGCAATAGGTGTCTTTTGTGAAAAGGCAGCAATTTTGTGTTCAATTAAATAAAACATGTATTCATCATAAAGTAAACGAATTAAATGAAATGATCCAAATGAGGCTGCACTACGTAATGTCAGATCACGAATGACCATTGAACTAAAATAGAGGAAAAAACGATACTGAGTAAGTGAATTCAAATTGTAATAAGTTACAATGTGAACAGAAAACAACTTATTTTATGTGTTCACGCAAACTGTCAGTCTTTTGAAAACAAACTGATCTGTAACCGATACATAGAACTTCGAATCGTAAAATCTAAATTTTTGCTCTACTTACCAATAAAACGACCAATTAAGTAAGAATTGTTTAGCCATTTTCGCATATGCTGCATGTGATTGCGTTTGATAAGGTTTAAGAATATCGACAACAACTCCGTCTAGCCATTGTGCCCATTGTTCCAAAGTTAACTGAGATTGTAACTGTTGTTTAAAATCATTTTCAACACGTGATACAATTAAATCGTCACATTCACAAACCCATGATGCTTGTTCCTATGAATAAATAAAAAATCGTATACAATCGACGAATAAACTCAAAATTCATAATTAATAAAAGTGAACATTAATAAAATTAGCGAAAATTCTCTTGAAATGTTGTTATTACAGTGTAGGCCAATTGAATTTCCTTTCTTTACTTATCGTGTCCATGTTAATAAACCTTACTTGTGTAATGATACATACTCTGTAGGAAGAATGTATGTGACATATTAATCTTGGATAATAAACAATAATTATAAGGAAAAAACTTACATCAGAAAAAAGTTTACTACAACGTAGATTTAAAGTGTCCAACAAAAAATATGTTCCCACTGAATCTCGAGAACTTTCAAGATTTATAGAGAAATATCTTTGTTATCTAACCGTATGCTTTTCTTTTGTAGAAAAAATAAATAAGTAGAAATATCAGTGAAAATACCATTAAAGTACCGTTATTTCCGAAAGATCTCAAAATTCAAAGGTGAATGCCGTTTATAAAACAACTATCTTTCAATAACCATTAAAAGTCAACATTTTACATTTATACCGTACGTAGAGGAGGATCATGGCTACATTTTGGTAAAAAGCGAAAAATGTTCATTCTCTTGGATCAGAAGTTGTCAGCATTTTACAAAAAAAAAGACGCAACGCTTATATTTTACCGATCATCGAGTCAAAGGGACCTAAATTGGTTAATTGATCTGTATTCAGTGAGAGCCATAATCATACAGAAGTCTCAAATTCAAAACTATTATGTATCTCGTAATTCAGTAGACACATGTTTTTATCGGACACTCTAAATCTACACTGTAGTAAACAAATACGTGACATTTTTCTATTATCGTTTATTTTTCTCCTTATAATCGTTGTTTTTGTTGTCCAAGATTAATATGTTACATACATTCTTTCTATATAATAACTATCATTACACAAGTAAGTATCGATTTTGAGATGATATTTATGTAAATGTTGTACTTGGTAAAATAAACGTTATTTATAATTACATGAGACTTTTAAAATGGGACTCTTTCTTGTTCTGCATTAGATTGCGTTTATAGAACATTCATCTTTCAAACTATTGAACGATGCCAATGAATTATATTCTCTAACAACACAAGAAAACATAAATAAAATGGAATATTTTCAATACCAGCATTTCTAGAGTCATGAACGGAAACATTCAAGGAAAAACTGTTTCACGAATTTTTATGGCTACCCATTTTTCACTTATTTCATATCAATCGTTTATGTACGTCTTACAAAATCTGATACAAATCAATCATCAATATTTGACTTCTATTCAGTTAGACTCTACATATTCATTGCGATCTAATTCATCTATTCAAATCTATAATTAGTGAGACAAAAGCGCTTTTTTTCATTAATTCTTATTTTCTCTCAGTCATTATAAGCTAATTTTAGTTCCTTCATCAATGACTTTTCGTTGTAAACCATAATTAATTAGAAGAGATTTAAAAATCTTTCTTATCGGTGTACAGCTAAAGACTCCATCGTCGTGAGTCGCGCCATATTGATGGGCTTTACTGTCGACTTAGAATGGATTTATCTGCACTGAAATTTCCTCTTGAACAACACAAATCAATTAATGACTATTCCTGCGAAAATTGCCTATCATGTAACCCTAGCACTAGTATAGTACAGGACACGAAACATTTTTTCCTGAAGTGTCCTACCTATGAACTGAATCGTAAATTTTTTACACGACAGACCTCGCGAAGAAGATTTTTTGATTACTTTTTTCTTCTTTTGCCTCTTATTTTTCGTGCTTTTTATCAGTAATAGCTTATATCATTTTACCATGTCATTTTTCTCTGATATAAATGGCCTAGGCCGCATCTGTATAGAATGACTATTTTTATTTCTCTTTCTTGAATGAACAAAATTTAAACTAAACTAAACTAAGATTTTTTGATAGCTTGATGAGGCCAAGACAAGAACTTCACGACGCGAACCCCGTGAACGACATTTTTTCATGTGAGTGAAAGATGTTATGTTTATTTTTATCTATTTTTATATGGTTCTTCTAGTGAACCAAGATAAAACAAAGCATAACTTATGTTAGCACAGATTTTCTGGACTCAGGAGGATCGAAGAAGAAATGCCAGAGGAAAATTTTATCAAGTGTTGACGGTGGATGAGGGAGCGATGGAGCAGAAAGTTTATGGGACGATCCTCGCGAAGTACATTTATCGGAACTTGGCGAGGTACGGAGCGATGACGAGGCAGAAAGTTTGCGAGACAACGATAGAGACAAAAATAGTCCATCGCTCATCTATGTGACATACCTCTGACCCTAGATCATCTGCTACTGCGTTCTACTCTTGCTCAAAATGTAAAATATTTGATCTACAAAGCTGTCTGTCAGTTCATTACTGACTAACTCCTGTACATTTTACGATTGTTGCACTCCTCTAATTATCTGTTCTCTTTTGACTTATAGAACGAAGATGTTCCTCTAGAAGTTTCGATCTGTGTGTTTTTTTTTTGTTTTTAGTTATTTCAACTTTTGAATGTATTGTCAAAACAATAACACATACTCTCACGATTTTTGTTTTTTCTCTTCCTATCGTTCTTTTTTCTTCACTGCATCCTCTTTCTCATCAAAGAATAATGTAATGTAGTCCCTAGACCACAATTTTAATCTTTGTACTCTTCATCTCTTTCTAGATAAAGTTTTGTATCAAGGATTATTAGCATAAACAAAAATTAAAAAAAACAAAGAGGGAAAATTCAATTAGCCCGTACTTGTATATGTTTAAAATCGACTTTATTTAAATCTTGTAACATTTGTTGAACTTGTTGTGAGTTTTGTAAGACAGCTTTGGCTGCTTGAGCCAAATGATTCAATGATGTATATCGACGAAGAGTCATTGAGAATGAATTGACAATTGATAACTAAAACAGACATAAGAAATTTAGACGAGATGAAATGTATAATTTTTGCAATTATGAAAAATCTCATAGAAAAAGAATAAGAAATAGTTAAAATATCTACTTTAATCGTTTTTAATCTTTCAGGCATATGAGAGATAACTAATTTCAATGATGAATCCAACGATTTGCCAAATGTGCGAATAGATTGAGTTATTGGACCTGAAAATTAAAAAAACAAAATACAATCAATTCCATATTCTATTCGAATGTACACTAATATATTTCAGAATACATACCAGGCATTGGACTAAGTATATCTGGTATAAGTCGCTCAATTAATTGTTGATAAAATGTATAATCACATTGACGAATAAAATCTTGAACTAATGTCAATGAACATACGCTTAAAAGTTGATATGTTGTTAATGACTGATCACTATTATCGCTATATAGAAAAAAACAAGAAAAAAGATCATAAAATTTGCATCTCATCTTTCGATTCTATCAAACTAAATCACTTACCCTTGATTACTTTGTGTTGATTTCCAAAAACTTGCCCATATTTGTTCAACAGATGTAAATTGAAAATTTGTAATGACGTCAAATAGTTTCTAGAAAAAGAATAATAATAGAGTTTCACTCTATGTACATGATATCCTTTTTTTTCTCTACATACAGCACAATGTTCTTTATATGAATCTTCAAATCGTCGTAAATCGGCTAATGTTAAACAGTCAGGTAATACTAATGATGAATCAATTTGAATATTTTCATATAACATGAGAGAATCTAAACAAATTTCATATACAAAGTGTTTTAAAAGGAGCTACAAAATTCTGAAATAACTATAACTGAAGTATTCTCATTACATTGTTCAAAACACCAACAGATTGATTTTAGAATTATTTTCTTAAAGTCTTAACTCAATAAAGAGGTGTCTATGCTATCATTTCGTACGAATAACGGGTGGATTCAAAGTGTCTAAACAAAATGTCACGGAAAAAATAGCAAAAAATGCACCATTTCGATTCTAAAACACTAAAACTTCGCCAAAGTTTGACAGTTTAAAAGATTTTTCAAAGCACATAGATCTTTTTTGTAAAGAAATGTTTGCTCTACAAACTGATGGGAAAAAAAGTAACTCCATCTGGAGAAACACAATCGTATGAAACAAAAAAAGTGTGCTCAAACTTATTTTTCAAAACTTTTTAGAATTCTCGCGAGTTCTCCAAAACAAAAATTGATCAACATAGATTTCGAAAGTCGGTTTTATTTTTGTAAATTATACAACACTACTTTGGAATGATCAGAAACTCTTCTAAATAAGATAAAAAGTTAATTTCGGATCCACTCGTTAAGTTCAGTCACTCTCTCTCTCTCTGTGACCGTACAAGAGAAGGAGCGATTTATTTCCACTTCATCTACTTTAGATTTTGTTGAATGAAGATAGAAATAGTCAAATATATGTCTAACTTACTCGTATCTTGAGTAAACTGTGATCGTTGTAAATTTAATTTTGTATCAGATTCAGATGAATACGATTGATCTTGTAGTCCACCACAATGTGTAGGTGATGATGATGATGAGCTATTACTATGTGCATTTGACTGAGATAATACTCCACGTCTAAATAAAATACAAAAAAAAAAGAAAATATTTGGAAATATAGAAAAAAAAACATGTCTTAATATATTTACTTTTTTGTATTTGTGCTTCCAAAATGATGTTGTCCTTTAAATGTTAATCCACCATTTTTATCCGTATATTCGTTAAGACTAGATGAGGCTTTTAAACGAATACCATAATAATGATATTTGGAATTACCTCTACAAATAAGATAAAACCCAAATCTTATAAAAAGTATTTGTTATGTATGTGAAAAAATGACTTTCACATTAAAACATTAGAACAATGATCTTTTTTTTTTTGTTATAGAATAAAGTAATTTACCTAGTCCCTAATCTTCGTGTTCTTAAACCTAAAAAAACGGATCGTATCAACTTTCCAAATGATGCTGGATTAACTTGTTCCAATTTTTGTTCTTGACAATGTTGTAAATAAAATGAGTACAATATTGATCTTCTCAATGAACATCCTTCAGCTGGTTCAAAATTATCCACTAACCATTGAACCTAAAATTAAATAACAAGAGTGAATATTCCTTTCTTTTAGAATAGTATAAAAATTCTATAACATATTTATATAACATAACACTACAACATACGTTAACTTCTCTATGGAAAAAAAAGTATTCAAAAGATATGTTTAAATATCAATTTTTTTTATTTATCATAATGCTTACTGTAGCAGGTGATGCTCTTGTCGTATGAGCTAAAGTTTGGGCTGAGTTTCCATCTTGAAGAAAAGTAAATGCACCATTTCCATTTTCACATGATAAAATATGATGACTGTATCCATCACCGGAGCTTGTCTAAATCAAAATAAATAAATAAATAAATAACAGATATATTATATGAGAAAATAAATTAGTAATATAAACAAACAGAGAATATTCAAACTTAAATGAAATAAATTGTTAAATTTTTTTAATAACAATACTGCTAGTTTAAGTTTTTTATATCGTCTATCTTATAAAGGGTAAACAAGTTTCACTGGATGTTTTAAAAGTCACTAATAGATTTAAAAAAAATGTTTATAACTTCGTCAGTTCTCAACCAAATGAACTCAATTTTTTTGATGAAGAAAGAGTCAAAAATTGACGAAATTATAGCCATTTTTTTTCCCTCCGGTAGTGAGTGACGTTTGAAACACTCGTTCACTAGTAGCTATTGTTCATTAGTCCACACATTTTGTTAATATCAAACATAAAAAATAAAAGAAGAACTTGTGCTGGATAATCAAACGGTGTTCGGTGCTCAAAAAATCAACTGTCATCTCTCTCTCTTACGGATTGTAATCTAAATATTTGAGGTCCAATAGGCGTCGTTTTTTGCTGAGATAGAGACAAATCAAGATTTTCATAATTATCTGACTCTAACTCATTTCCAGCCAGATCATGATAAACAAAACACTGTTGTTTAATCAAAGCAGTAGAATCAGCTACTAATTGCTAAAGTAGCGAGATAAATTAAAAATCTTTTTAATGATATTATAGATGTATTAAACGTACATTTTGTTGTGGATGAAAAAATGAATTTGTTCCAGTGTATAATGTTCCATCACTTGTATTAAATTGAAATTGACTAAAATAAAAAGACAGAAAAAATATTTTAATAATGATTGATACAAAGAAATATAAATTTATGTTCACTCATATGTTTTGAAAGAAATTGCTCATAAATATTATCGAATTCTATTGTACTTACACTGGTGCTCCATTTGAAAATCCACTACCATTTGTGTATGTATTCGATGTTGCTGCTTGTACAGAATTTGAGTTTGCTGCTTGAGCAGTGGCAATAATGACTCTTCCTGGTTGACCAGAAGTTTGAGATTGATCTCCACTTGTACTAGTCGATGGTGCAGTTGTTATTACATATTGACTAGCTCCACCTGATCCTGATGCTGTCTGATGTAATATGGAACCTTGTCGAGGTTGAACTGATTTCGATGCTTGAGGAGAAGTAAGACGCTAGAAATAATAAATGAAAATTGACAAAACTCAGTGGTAACATTGTGAGATTTTAACCACAAGTATATGAATCTAATTACAGGTCATTATGTATTTTTGTAAGGAATTTAGTTTTTTTTTATCTTCTTCTGTCTTTCGTCTGCTTTTTAGGCAAAATGTGCACCGCGTGAACTATGAAAGTTAGAAAAGTTCTGAAACAGGTAGAATATTCTCCCCGGCATTGGAGATTGATCAATGCACATTTTTTTTCTCAAGTAACGGTCCAGATTCGGCGCCATAAGCTACACAAGTGGAAGAAAAATGTGTTTTGAACTTAGATAATTATTATTATCTTTGTCCGGCGCCATTTAGTCAGAGAACGAAAAATAATTTCTTTCTCTGTTTTTCAAATTTTCTTCATTCTTGTTTTATATTATAATCAGTTCAGAGAGTAAATCAAAGCAACAATGCAGTGTTCACAGTCTACTGATAGAATCTGCTTGAAGTAGTAGGTTCAGTCAGAGACAGAGTTTATCGACATCGCAACTTGTGCGCAGCGTGCAATTGCAATCTAGTTTAATGTTTACTCTATAAATTAAAGTATGGTGCTCCAGTGTTTTATCTAGGTTTCCCGTTTTTCAAATGGGCGGTTGAAATTTTTTGAGGGGCTGTTGGCTAAACAACTTTTGCTAAACCATAATCAGCTATTTATTTCCGCCCATTCGGCCTACCCACCACATAAATTATTGGTAGTCTCTCTCTCTCTCTCTCTTACCCTTGCAGATACTGCTGGCTCAATAGTGGCGACACCTGAATGGGACGAACTGCTTGTAGCCATGAAAAATTAAGAAAGAATTGAATCACAAAACTAAAATGAAACAAAAAACAAAACATCGTTTATTAAAGATATGAAAATAAAATTTCAATCATGAAGGAAAACATCCTTAGGTAATAGAATAATGATCTCAAGATCTTTTTTATTTCGATAAACGTTTTTTGATTCAAGAACATCTTCAGATAATTTCTGACAAACAGAAGACAAGCACGGCTTGGCCAAGTAACTCTGCTACAGCAATGTCCTTCCGTAACATTTTTTTTCTGCATTTTGTTTCTTTCATAGTTTTCGAACGAAAGTAGAGCCAGAACTCTACAACATCTTAAAGTGAAGACGAAATTGTATTGAACATTTTGAGATGCTTTCACACTGTACATGATCTTTCGTTTAAAAACTGAGATAAAAATACAAACACCTACTTTTTCGGATAATTTTTGATAAGTGGGTTTTCGTATTTTTATCTCAGTTTTTGACGCAAGAGCATGCACAGTGTGGAAACATCTCAAAATGTTCAATACAATTTCGTCTTCACTTTAAGATGTTGTAGAGCTCTGACTCTACTTTCGTTCGAAAACGATGAAAGAGACAAAAAGTAGAAAAAAAACGTTACGGAAGGACACTGGGGTAGCAGAATTACCTGGCCAAGCCGTGCATTATATGGCAACTGAAGTAACTCTACTTAAATAAACAAACTGTACAATGTTTGAAGAGAGCAGAACATGGTTGATATGTACAAGTCTTTTCTAACAATAAAACGAGTTATGATATAAACTATAGAACAAATTGAGGAACCATATTTTAGCCTATTCCTATAATTATTTTGAATAAGGTAATATGCAATACAATAATTCACGTAGGAAAGAGGAAATCACTTAAAAAATAAGATGAAAATTTTTCTATTTTTTTTTAATGTGATATTGTTTAGAATTTGTATATAAACTAGAATATCTTTCTAGTGCCGCAGAGATAATATTTATTGACCTCGAGTTGTCCGTTTTCACGTTTGTAAACGGGAAAATTGATAGCATACAGTACAATATTTATTTGTAAACAATTATCTCATTAAAGTAAATGAGATGAATTAAGGATTCGTCATTTGTTTACTCTTTTAGGTAAACATGTCAAGCAAATGAGTTTGTTTTCTAGTTAAGAACAAAAACACACAATATCGTCAATGAAAATAGTAAAAGGTTTTAAATTCTAAATAAGGAGAATTTTTCTTAAAAATGATAATTCAATGTCAATAAATCTGGTCTAATCTCTCATCACTTTGAGGCTGTTTACTGTTTGTTTATCTTCATTGAAATATACCTCATTGTTTTCATATTCTTATTGTCTTATGGTTGTTTTTTGTTTTTTGCTTTAATTGAAAATGATTAGAAAAAAAAGAACGATAAGCAGTTGCTGTCAAAGTCAAAGAAGAAGAATCATCATATATTACCTTTTTGGTAACTTGGCTACTCGTTGTGAATAGTAACTGTTTGAGGTGAGAAATGAACTATTACAGGCTGCTATATCAACCATATCTAAGCAATAGCAAAAAAAGTTCTCTTTTTCTCTCTCGTTCTCTCCTATTTTTTTTTTTTAAACAGAAGTTTTCCAAGAAGAAAAACTTAATTTTTTCAATCAGCCGATTATATATGTGTGAACTTTTGATTACCTTTTATTTCTTTTCTCCTTCTTCAGGGTATAACATGACGACGACCGAGAAATGAAAAGTGCCAGGCAACAGTGTAACTATATCAACGTTTACAATAGACAAAGTTGAAGTACGTAGAGAGAAGGACTGAATAAATGGTGGATCCGTTTAACTTAGTTATGCACTTTCATCAAATATGACAAACATTTATATATCCCAATATTTTTACAGGAAAATTTATGTATTAATAGATATAGAGATTAAAAAACTGATTGACAATGATTTTTTCTGGTACTTTCTTCAAGAAAGAGGCTGTTACCTAAGTGGCAGGGACTATGAATGATTCACACTATAGTGTCTTGTTTTTATAAAAACAAAGAATATGCTAAAAAATATATAATATAAACCAACAACATCAAATATTCCAAAAAGTTATTTAGCCAGTGGGTGTAAATAGAGCAAAATTTCTAAGAATAACCTCTACACCAGTAGAGAATCAGCTATACAATCTTAACACGGCTAAGTCAGTCAGTCTTGACTGACTTTTTGAATGACTTTTTCATAAAAAGTTATTTTCTTTTCTTATGCTTTTTACTGATTCAGAACCGAATAATCTTTATCAGTACTTTTATGGTTAATTTGTTTTGAATCAGAAGATACGTTTATCATTAATGAGGTCTGATGCAGTTTTAATAAAATTGCATCTCTGATTTAGTTTTTTAGACCAAATTGATTGTCGACTAGTATTAGGCGATAGTTAATAAAAAGAAGAACGAAAGAATTCTGAATAAGAAGAAGCTGCTCAGAATTATGCGTTAAAGTCAGATGCAGTCATCTTTTTGATAGAAATAGTTCTGTGAAGTTTTAAATTTTTAACTAACGAGGGAGATATACTTTCTCTAATAGAACTCAGCGAGCTGAATCGAATAAAAGAAAGTTAAAGTTATGGATATTTTATCCTTCGAACGGAAAACTGTATTTATTCCAGTGGTCTGCAGCGAATTTGACCTAAATTGTAAAACTTGTCCAAACCGCAATCCCTAACGCAGAACCTTGAATTTGGTCTCAAACGAACGAGCTCATCGAGTTCTGTTGAAAAAATTCTATGCACTATCACAGGATCTGGAACAAAAAGATTTCTGAAAACCCTGGTTTTCTAGAAAATCTAAAGAGCTTGAAATTCATTTTGAAAATTTTTCAACCACACCAGTCGACAAATCGTGCAGTTTTCCACAAAATGAGATGTGAATCACGTTTTCATAAGGTTCCATTAAAAAATAATGAAGAAAGTACGAAGCGGATCAAAAATTTAGCATTGAGTGAAAACACATCTCAAAGAATTTATGCCAATAATTTTATAAAGCCTATAACTCAGTCATTTAATATGATGAAAAGTTAATTGACATCTCGTGTTTTGCAGAACGAACGGACTGTCGACTGGTGTGATCGAAAATTTTTCAGATCTTTAGGTTTTCTGGAAAACCAGATTTTTTTCAAAAAACTTGAAAAATGCATAACTCGACTTCAGAGACTCAGACAACCGAACTAGGGCTATTCTAGTCTAGAGATCTCCTACTTGTCGGCAAAATATTGGCTCAAAAAGCATTAAACACCTCGAGAGGTTCCCTTGTAAGTTATTTTTTTTGATACTCACTTTGAATCTGTTAAACTGAACGGAAAGCAAAAAAAGATATGTCTACCTCTAAAATATTCTTTTGGAAAAAATGTCATATTAAAATCAACTTGTCGTGAATTACTACAATACAACATGCAATTGTCTCTGTGCATCTCTTTAAAATTTCAATTAAAAACCTATGACGTACTTTTATGTGTTCAACGCTTGTAGTAAGGTCTTAATAGTCAGAATTCAAATGAGAAAAACTATCTCTTATATAGTGGTTTAAAGCAATTGCTGATCATAACCGCTTTACTTATCGTTTGAAATGTTTAATCCTATTTAAGATAAGACTTTTGTTTTATCTTAATGATTAACAAACGACTTGTATTTACAACACATCGTTACAGGCATGTGTTATACACACACACACAACTTTATATAAGATAAAATAATTAATATACTATGATAAGCACGTATAAAATTCGTTTGACTTCTCAATAAGTATATTATAATGAATAAATGCTCATTTCAGACTTATTTTAGAGCCATTTTCTGAAAAGTTTAGATGAACAATAATTTTAAAATCCGTTCATCAAAAAATTGTATAAGAATATAGGATGTATATATGTTCTTGAAAAATGATAGCCTTTATTCACCTATTCTCACTTAATGATACGTAAAAGCACATGACGTGTTTTTGATCAGATATGTTTATGAAGGATAGACTATTTCTAATAAGACTAATAATCTGATGTTATCAAGAATTGAAAGAAATGAATAATTTCATTAGTAAAAAGAAGTCGAATACATAGATACTTATCAATAGGTCAATCTTATCCACAACTAGTTATTGAAATGAATAGAGTCCATATTCCGATCGACAGAGTGATGTACTCTTTTTGTGTGTGTGTGTGTGTGATATAGTATTTTGTTCTCTCTACGTACGCATAATATATTCTCTATTGAGACTTGATCTATTCTTGAATAGAATCATTGACTACACATGACTCGAAAAAGATCTTGTAACATGTCTCACTCAAATTTCGACCTTTTGATAAGTAATATGATGTTCATTTCTTTAACAGAAGAAGATGTGCAATATATGGGCTAAATATCGGTGATAATTAGAGGCATCTATCCATTTTTTTTTTGAATATAGTAAACGATTTGATACCTCAGACTGAAGTGAGATGAAAATTTATTACACTCCACCACCCATCGTTTTAGTACTATACAAGTTGAATTAGTAATATGTTTTTTTGGTAAAACTAGTTGCAAAAGCTCTTTTTTAGTTTCAAAAATTCCTTTTTACAGATTCAATGGACTGACTAGATTATAATGTACAAAGTAACTTTTTCTAAGACCAATTGAAAAATCGTTTTCTAAGATCTGAGACATATCGATATGGAAATGCTCAGATGAATTTCTTATAAGATCTTATAGATTCTCGTATGGTTTTGTGAATTTCATCACCCATGGAAGAATTAAAGTTACTGCTTATTCATTTATGATAATGAAATCTCTGCTCATCTACTATATTACTCAAAATTCGAAAAAAAAACAGTCATTGAAGTCATTCATATGTTTTAACAAAGTGCATTTGACTATCCGTCTATGTATATAGATAGTCGACGTTGTTTTTTAACGCAGTTAACTTAACTTTGTATTTCAAAGATAATTGAAGATTGTTGAGAAATGCCAAAAAAAACGTAATCTATTTGAAGGTTGATAAAGCGTTGTTTCTTGACACAAGATATCTTTCTTTTATTGAATCAAAGTTTCTTCGAAAAGTTCAATATTTGAAGTGTTTTACATACATGATTTCGAGCGTATTTTTCTTTCTGAATCTATAGTGGGTGATCGGATTTAGAATAATGATTGACTGCAAATATTACCATTGAATACAACATATTGAAGTTCGGGATATATGGTTGGAAAAAAAATCAATAAAACTGCTGTTTGTACTAGATATTTCAAATTCTCAATGGGTTCTGTTTAAGAATTTTTCTGCAAACCGTTTTGATCAATGATCTTAGATACAAAAAATCACACTGGAATTATTCTAAAATTTCGTTTGAGGTTTAGCATTAAAGAGAAAATTGTCTTTGAAATGAGACTTCGCGATCTCTGTATCATCTTTCTGTCACATGATATATAGTCTTTTCAATATAAATATCTATTTTCTAGCTTATTTACTCTTCCAAGATTCCAATAAAAATAACTCGATTTACGTTGAAGAGTATGCTGCATGTCTATAGAAAAAGGGCTGTTTTTTTAGGAAAATACTTCTGAGAACCTCAGTTTTTCGAATTTTTTCTTTAATAAATGTTTAAACGATTTTGAAACTGTTTGTTTTACAAGATTGACCCTTTAGCTGCGGGTCTTTTTTTAAGAGCACATGTTTTTCCGCTTTTGGAGTTTTTGACCTCAAAATTCAACTTTTTCTCAACAAATCGTACATATTCAGATTCAGCGTGTCAAGCTCTATCAGAATATCGAAACAATCGAAAAAATAAAAAGTGCTCAAGTTTTGAACTTCCTGAACCTTACCATTATTCACAATTACCGACAAAAATCAAATTTAAAAACTATGGTTTAATTGTGAATGAAAATCTTTTTTTTTCAAAATGTAGAGCACAAAATTCTGCATCGGGTAATATATGTTTTAAATTTTTTAAATAAAATCTCTAGGTCAGGAAACGCAAAATACTAAAAGTGTCTTAAAATTATGTCCACTGTAATAAAATTGTTTTCGCCATAACTAGGCCAAAACACGTCTGATCTTGACAATTTTTTGAGATAACATAGTCCTTGACATGGCCTTTCTAACTCTGAAAGACTGCCTGCTAAATGTTGCCACGAAACCGAATCTATGAGTTTTGATTTACCTGGAAACTACTGCGACGCATATCTGAGTCACCCGCAAAGGGTTAAGTTAAGTTTTGTAAAAAGGCACTCAACCTTTGTTCGTTGGAAAAAGAGTATTTTGTTATCATATCAGTGAGGAATGATTAAGGTGGCACTTTTATTATATGGTGAATGTAGTTACTACTTATAGGTGGTCATACCGCTACTTAAATCTCCTTAACGTGCTATGGTTTTAAAGTAATATCGAAAAAACAAAATGCTTAAAATTCTTGCTCTCAGTTTATCTAGATGGATATTCTTGTGCGAAAGATTTGCTGGGAGTTTGTTTCCTGTCATCATCAGCAACCAGTGATATCGTCCAAGAGTTTAAATGAGAGAGAAGAGCCCTAGAGAAAAATATTTTGGAAAATCTAATCGGTTTCTTACATAAGATTGTTTAAGATTTCTCATAGACAGTCGTAAGTCTCTTAGAAGAATCCGATAAGAAATTCATAAGAATTCAATAAGATCATCTAAAAATTCTTATGACATTCTTATCGGATTCTTATAAGAGACTCACGACTATCGATGGGAAATTATAAACAATCTTATGTAAGAAACCAGTTTCTTACAGGAAATTTATCAGTTTCCTATAATATTCTTACAGGTTTCCTATATAAAAATCGATGTCTAGGAAGTCGTTTTCAAGCCCGTTTTTCTAACATTTCTTACAACATCAGACGTATTTACCTGAATAGATTTTTATATTGAACGATATTTTTAATAGGTAGATAAATCTGTTATTAGTTTTTATTAAGATCAGCTGTGTTTACTTCAAACGAAACTAAGACTTTTATCTTTCTGCAAATGATAATACGGATAATTTATATGATTTCTGGTTAAAGCTTAAGAACAAATCTTAGACTGAATCATTTGGAAATAAGGACGAAATTAATTGAAAACTATCTGCTTAATCAGCACCAGTAAGTCGTTGTTTTTTTTAGAAGCACTTTATTCATTTACCAGATAAAACTAGATTATCTATTGTCAATTTTCTAAAATAAATTGAAAAATTTTAGTATTTTTCTACGTGACTCTTGAGTCGATAAGTCGACAAGACCCTCCTTTTAATAGAACGTCTAGTTTTTAACAATATCAAAGGAGTGTTTTGTTGCTAATATCTTCTTTTTTCAGCGGTGATCTCATTCTTCACGAACATCCGCACGAGTATAATCTATTCGCGTTGGTCGATTAGAAATTTCCAAGTCATACTGAAATAATAAAAAGAAGAAATGAAAAATTGAAAATTATTAAGCAGTATGAGCTTAGAATTGTTGTTATCATTTCCACGTGATTGCAGTGATTCGTGTGTATATCTGTTTGTCTTTAACGAGAATATATTTCAGCAGTATAAGGACGACTGCTTATCGATGAAAAGCTTAAATTTAACGCATAGTGCGAAGTTATGTGTATTTTTATGTGAATATTTTGTATATACTAATATCAATGGGATGATAATCCGTGAAATTTTCTAACCGGGTTGACTTTATCCAATCCAATTGACGAGTAGACATATGTTTCATATGTTTGAATTTGACCAGTTTTTATTTTATCAAAAAGTTTATTTAATTTCTTATTTAAATCATCAATTTCTTTTTTACGTGGATCTATTTCTTCAACATCATCATAAACTTGACGTCTTGGTTTTAAAATACGTTTATCAATCAATTGAACTAAATCGTATCGACGAATTTTTGATAATGCTGTGACAATATCTTCCACTTTTGAACGAGTATGATAACGACGCCATTTTGTTAAACAATCAATTGCTTGATCCTAAATATACCAAAAAAAAACAAAAAAACATGTAAAAAATTGTGTCTATATAAATTTTGCTATGGATAAATTTTTCTTGCACTCCTTTCGTTCTTTGATCATGTTCAAAAATACATCTTACATGAAATACATCTCCTCTATGATATTTATGATCGATATGTTTAATATCATTTGATTTTTCTTCATTTCCTCTTGGCGGATAAAATGGTAACTGCCAATATAAACGATTCCAATCTCGACCGATATGTTTTGAAACTAATCGCAGTGCTTTGGATACATCATCTAAAAGATGAAAAAAAATCTTGACAGAGCAACTCTGCTTAAGGCTAAAATTGAAAATTCCTTCCGGCTGTTAATCTTTGAATTCACTTTTGTAAGTAGTAAACAACTATTCGACTAGTGTTCACCGACTACTATTTCGATAACCGCAGTTAACTGTCAATTTTTTATTGACATGGGTATGATCTCTGAGCAAAAAGATAACAATAGTAGGTCCCGCAGCCATCTTAAGATTCTAACTGTCAACCTTGTACGATTTTAAGACCATAACGAAAAACGCTAGGTATTTTTTAAGATCATAATCAGACAGTGGCGGTTCGACCGGGGGGGGGGGGGGTTAAAAAAAATAAACCCCCATTTAAGCCCGGTTTGGGTGAAGGCCAGGGGCCGTTAAGCCCAAATTTTTNCCCCCCCCCCCCCCCCCCCCCCCCCCCCCCCCCCCCCCCCCCCCCCCCCCCCCCCCCCCACTACAAAATCAAGACCCATTTACTCCCGTTTTGGAGGAAGTCATGGGTCCTTTACTCCCAATTTTGTAGAAACTCGGAGAGTGATTTATTCCGATTTTGAACAAAATCAAGAACGGTTTACTCGTAATTTGAGAAAAGATAAGAAGGATTTACTCCGAATTTCGGAGAAACCTGAGGGATAATTTACTCCGATTTTGGTTTTTTCGAATACTAAAGTGCTGCTTTCTCCGAAAACTGATATTAAATGTGCTCTTTGAAGAAGCTCTCTTAACCGACTTAGATGACTTATTTCTACTTTTTTTCGCCTACGTCTGAGAAAATTACAGTGAATGTAACGTTTAGGCAAACTTAATGAGTGATGCTCATCAATTATTTATACTTCATCATGAGCTCGGAGAGTCAGGGGCTTATTTTTGGAGACCTTACTCCCATTTTTTGATTTACCCCCCACGCTCCCAACCTCTTTGCGCCGCCACTGTAATCAGAGTCTATGAAATCGTAAATAAGACCCTGAAGATCATTGATACGTACTGAGAACGGTTTTAAGATTATACATAGGGACTCTAAGGTTATATCTGGCTCCACTAGATGAACTTACGATTATAATCACTGCTATTATTCACTTAATTGAGATCAGAAGAGGGGGAGAGGGGAAGAAAATAGCAAAAACGCTGGGGATTCTGACTATATAACTAACACTTTTTTTCTCTCTTCTTCAGCAACTATTCGGAGGGAGTTACACAAAAATATTGTATAAGACGATAAATCTAGTGAAAATGAACCGTTTTTCTTTTACCATCATCTAAGATTTCTCCGTTTTGATCTGCTTTGGTACGTTTTGGTTTTACAGGTAGAGCATGATATATTTTCTGTACAAGATCATTCGACGATCTGAATCGATGAATTTGTTTCATTAAATGAAGAGATTTTTCGATTCTAGTGAATTCATTTTCTTTTAATATTTTATCTTCTAATGCCAGTTGAACTTCAGCATCTAATTCTTTTAAATGAATTCTCATTTGTTCAATAACTTGTTTTTGTTCTTCAAAATGGTTGAGACGTGATTTTATTGTATTAATTACCTGTTGTAATTTGGGTAGTTCCTTTTCAAATTGTTTTATTTCTTGTTGAAATTTTTCAAGTGATAGTTTTGTTTCAGCATATTGATCCGGATATTTGAGCATTTTTTCACATTGTTCTTGATAAACTTCATAGGTTAAACGTTTTGATACGTAAAGTCGTTCTTTATCGGCCAACCGTAGTTCTAAACTTATACGTTTAGCTTGTCCATTATTCATTTCTTCATCTAATTTTGATATTTGTAAACGATAGGAGTCAGCCTGAAAAACAAAATATAGTAAGTTTTGTTATTCATTCGAAAATGTTTGAATCAAACGCAAATCTAAATTTCTTCGTTGGTTATTACGTCAAAAAGAATTCATGGATCCGTTTTAAAAAGACAAATTTCATGTTAACAGAATTTAAGTATGATTAACCATTAGGCTTGTAAAAGTTCACGTTTCGTTCCTTGAACGTGAACGCTAAAGCACTGATGAACGTGAGCTTCTTTTATACGAACGGTGTTCATATTGTCTGACGTAAATATAGAATTCTGTTCTTGTACTGTAGTAAGAACATACATATTACTGCTTGGTCTTATCTGATCAGTAGATAGATTCTAGTGAACGATCAGATGGTCTGCTCAAAGCAGTGACCAGATTATTGCAATGTAAAAAGGATAGCCATTGATTCTCTGATCAAGACAGTGATTCTTCCAAGAACAGATCGAGGATTTCCTGATCAAAAGACTAGTTTTTCCTGCAGTGGAACCTAAGTTCCTTGCTCCAAACCATTTCAGTAACTACATACGTTTTCCTTTGTTATCGTAACCCATTTGGGGCAAACGAACGTTGATTTTTCACTAAATATAACTGGTAATGGAGAAAGCTATTTCACTTGGTATACTGCTAGGTGAAATTGCTATATAACGTTTTTGCAATACTATTCATTCAACATAAGACCAACACCGTTCATATAAAATAAAGTTAACGTTCACCAGAACATTCGAATTCACATTCAAGGAACGTGAACGTACTTTAGCGTTACGGTCAAAGAGAACGCTAAAAATGAACACTGAACTTGTGCAGATCTATTAACCATCATAAACTACCATCTCGATTAAAATTAAAATTTCAAACTTACTCTATGTTCACAATGACTCATGTTTGATTTTGCATGTAGATAATGTTTTTTTGCTTCTATCTGTTTTTCTCCCAATGTTTTCATTGACCTGAAACAAAAAATTTTCCATAATATCTCGATTATGTACATATACAAAACTTACATTAGAACAAATTGATTATATTTTTGATCATCTTGTATCCATGTGTGAAGTTCGGCAATAGCTCGTCTGGCTTCAATAAAACATTCTGGTAAAGCGAGTATGTATGGTAATTTATCACAGTCACATCTCACGGCTAATTCTTGGCATTCTTTTGATAATTGAGATAAAACGATGCCTTTTGATTCTTCTACACGTTCAGACATTTCACGTAATAATTTCATTGATCGATTAACTTGTGATACATGCTGTTGCCGAGATTTTTCGTATGTAAATGCTGTTTCGACATGAGCATCCTATAAAATACGACAAATAGTTATATATCATTGACTAATAGAAATGAATGTACACACAAATAGTGATTATTAATTATATAAAGAACAGATAATTGAACATTATCGATAATTAATTATTCTTTGAATTATTTGAAAAAATTATTTTTACTCTTGTCGTAATTAGTCGACCAGTACTTTTAAGAGACGAATCATCCAAAAATTATCTTACAGAAAAAATACTTTCTGATATAAATGTGCTTATTTATCTTGCAGAGTTACCCATAAATTCAACATTTTACAATTGAATAACATTTTGTTCACTATTTAGTAAGTTTTATACATTGAAAAAGAACTTTAGTGAAGTGTTAGGAAATACATTACAAGCGACCGACAACTTTTCCAGAAAAAGACTACTACTACTAGAAGAAAGACTACTTTTTTTTTATTAAACTCACATGTTATGACACAAAGTTATGACATTTAATGATCTTTGTTGCAGTTAGACTAAAACTAGATAAATGTATCGTTAACTTACTATCCTTTTCAAAATATACGACGTGTGACTGTTTTTTTGAACAACTCGAGAACAAAAGGTGATAGAGATGCACGAATTTTGCCATTCTGTAGTCAAGACCAAACGAAGGACAAAACACATATGTAATCGACTACACTAGATCTGGTGGCAACAATTATTTTCGACGAAAAAAATCGAAAACGTAGTGAAAACCGAGTTTTATGAAAATTAAGATTTTCAAGTTGTTTCCACCGAAACTTCAAAAATTCACTGATAAATTAGCAGTAGCAGAACGAGTTCAAAACTTCAAAATATGGTCCCTATTATCCATTAAACATGATTATTAGATAGAAAAATTGAAAAGTCATATTTGAGCTCAAAGGGGTTCAAGAAAATCTTTCTAAAGAAAACCGCAGAGTTTTCTACTTTCTTTTTTGGCGAATTTCTTATCAATAGAATATAAAATACCTTAAATACTGTATATCCTGAAATTTTCAACTCATTCTAATGGCTTTTGAGTGAACGGTGAATTTTTTAACGTTAGGCGCAAACAGCCGGAATACCCTACTTTTCTGTAAAATTTGGTTTTGATTTGGTTTTAAAATTCTTTTCTATAAGATTAAGCATGATTGATTATCTATAACACACCCATTTTCGAAATTATCAACAGTCACCGGGAACTAGTCAGAGGACTCTATGGAAATTCGATATCATCCCCGGACCACTAAGAATCAAGATCTCGTTTGACTCCCATTTTAACGAAGTCACTTTAGATTATTTGCTCATGAAAAACAACGATATGTTGCCATTTTAAATTCGTAAGTTATGAAACCATTTTCAAATGTTTCTCTAAAAAATCAATTTTTGATAACAGTTTCAAATGTTTTTTGAAGCATTTAACTTGTTTAAGGGCTTCAGCTTTATTCAAAATAATGCAGTTCAAATAAGCTGCTGTATCATCTTCGTTCTTAAGGGCACCCCCTGTCAAAAACGTATTTTTTCCCGGAACATCCGATCTTAATGGAATTTTCATAGAATGTGTACTTGGCAGATAGCTAACAGTAAAAATTTAAGCTCAAAATATTGAGTTTTTCAAGATTTTTCCTCCAGTTCTAATGATACAGACTTTGGGTTGGTGTCGAAATGTAGTCAAGACTTGCCGCTACAACTTAACAGAGTCGGATTTTTGCAAGATTTTTTTATTTATTTCTTCCGAACGTTTTGAAAAAAAGTTGCAGTTAACTTTTTGGGAAAACTTTATTTTTCTCAAAGATTAAACTGAAAATAAAAAATCCGACTCAGTCAAGTTGTAGCTTCATTTCGAAACCTTCTAGAGCTTTTTAGTATTTAAAATGGCGGAAAAATCTTCTGCGCGGAAGGCGACCTTAAATGGTTTTTGGTTATGAAAAGATGTTTTAAAGTCTTGACTATAAAATGGCAAAATCTGCAAATCTATATCATTTTTTGCTCTCGAGTTATTCAAGAAAACAGCCACGCGCCGAGTATTTGACAGGATAACAGATACTCAATTCATGATTTTTGTTCGTACATGCGGATTAAGGGACGTGCAACAGTGTGAAAATGAGTGCGAATAATTAGAACTACTCAGATTTTTGGTATTTTGAAATTATTTGATAAATTATTTTTACATTAAAAAAATTTTGTTTTATTTTTAGAAAGATCATCTTTTTGTGGTCGGATCCACTTCATATTTTAATTCTAAAAATCACTATTGAGTTTAAAATAGTTATAACTATTTTAAAGTCCACAGTGCTAAAGAATTCAGAAATACTGTATCCTATTGGTTTGATATGTAAGTGTTAGAAGATAACAAATCGATTTAGAGAGATCAAATTCCAATAGTAATCGATTTTTGAAAAAATTTTTAACACACTAAAAAAGCATGCTCACTTGAAACTAAAACGTTACTAAGGCATATAAAAATTGGGTTTATGGGTAAGTTTCAAAGATGAAGATAATAAGCACGTTAAAATTAAACCATGTTAAGTACTTTTTCTATATTTACATACTTTATGGATCATTCTTTTTTAAAATGTAGCATTTTCTCTAAGAAACAATTGTTAATTGATGTTAGAATCAAATGCAGAAGAGTTAGCTAAGCAGTAGGAAGGAAAATAGCAGCAAAAAAACTGTGAAGATCTTCAGCTGCTTTTTTTTATTTGTCTAAAGCAGAGTATAGCGCTGTACAAACGTTCTAGCGCTATACAATTTGTGATCAATTGGAAACGCAAACAGCATGCATAAAATACAAACGTAACAGATATGAATAGTTACGAATTATAAACTACTTTTACCATTAATGTAAGTGTCTAAAAATAAAATGTGATTAGTAGGTTATCACTAAAATGTCAAGAGATTCTAAGCTTTTTTCTTTCTAAAAAACAAAATGGACTTTGTACAAATACGAACTTGAGTAATCTTTTTAAAAATTGTTAGAAAAATGACTCAAGTGTTAATAAAACAAATTTCTTTCTTTAGATAATGTAATTTGTATCATGAAGTAGTTTAAAAATGTCGTTGAGTATAGACATATGATCGTTTATCGCTTCGAGCACGTAAAAGTGTAGCAAATAAAAAGAACCTCTCTTGAAGGTTAACAATTTATTTAAACTTACTGGCTTCTTCTTTTTCTTCTTCTTATCCGTGTTATCTTGACTATTGTCGTTCTGATAGAAACTGAGAAAATATTGATTCATTAGATTTGTTATTTCGTCCATTTTTTGAGCTAATATTGGTATTTTCGAGTATAATATGTCAGTTGTACAATCGAGAATTCTTTTTATGAGTATAACGCCTTCATCTGACACCGTATTAGTAATTACACTCGTTCTAATATCCTTTAATAAATCTCGAATGAGTTTTCCATTTCGAATTTCTGATATGTAGCTAGCCTTTCTTAAATCATTGAGCGGTTTTGACCAGGATATGAGTGTTGCTACTGATTTTTGTTGTTGTTGTTGAGATGTATTATTGGTGAGAGATGATAGTGTTTCTGATACAGATTGTTGATAATATTCACGTTCAAAAGCGTCGACCATGTTTGAACATCCTTGTAACACTTCCAAAACATAATGATAAATTTGATCATAATTTCTCGGTTCGACTGTAGTGTCCCACGATACTTTTGAACTTACATCAGTACCCTCAATCTGACTAGTGGTAGTATACATTGATATGGAAGTCTTCATTGCTCTAATACAATTGTATCTAAAAAAAAAAAAGACAACATAATTTTAATTTAAAGTAAAAAAGAAATGATCAATTTTTCTTCTCTCAGACGTTGTTCATCACATATGGCTGCTACTCATGATAATTTTAACTGTTGATACGCTAATATCCATGCTTATGTTACTTTCATATGTTTCAGTGCATAAAAGTATATTGTCTTGGATTTACATACGAACAGATACACACTTACTTTCACGCGTAAATTTTTGTGCATGTAGACTGTTGGAAGTTAGATCCAATGCATTAACGTGTATTACAATCCACTATAGTAGATAGGATACTTCAGTGTAAATCCATCCACTTTACATAAGATCGAAAGACGGTTTTACTATATTTGAGGGTGATACTAAAACTATTTTAAAGCTTTTACTTAGTTTATGAAAGACTTATTCCCAACATAGTTTTTCTCTTATCATCAGGTGTGAATATTAGTATTTTTAGGCCTTTTCGAACTGAATTTTATGTAACTACTATAAATAATAGAGCGTCTTCTTCTCATTGTCGCGAAATCTAGCTGGATAGAGTGTCGAAAGTTGCCTATTTTCCACTAAAAAATTTAGTTTTTATTCTCAATGCATCAAATAATTTTGATTGGATCTGTGCTCCTTTGTTCAAAAACAGATATCATTAATGATTATTAACGTAATCATTTATATTTTATAACCGCCCCAGCAAATTCACCAGAATTAGTCGTAGCACACACACACACATACATATCGAAAATGTTACCATAGTTTGTATAATATAAACACCATTTTTAGTCGTACTTTTCATATTTGTTTTCTTAATTTACATAAAATATAAGACAACAAAATATATAAACACTTCTGCTCTAACAAACTTAAACCATTACTCATTACATATAGAAATTAGTTAAAAAGATTATTGTTTTTTACGTATGATAGTGCACACGTTTCAACAATGATATATATAACTAGAAATATTCACTTTTTTGTTTATCAACCATTTGATTTAACTAAAGCATACTGCATTGATAATTACGTATATACGAATTGAAACTTTACCAATTAATAAATTTACTATGCACATGATTAATAATTGATATTCGGGTTAGTGAAAACGCATGCCCAAATGAACGAGAAGTAATATTAACTAATTCATGCACAGCCTGTTAACTGCATCACTAAAAAATACACTATTAATCAGTTAAAAACTTTAAAAAACTACCCGTCGACAATCACTGTTTTTGTCCGTTATTTCACTGTAAAAACAGGCATTTAGCTGTCTGTACTTAAAATTGAAATTCATATTGGCCATTAACAGTCGACTAACAGGCCGCATATATCCGGAAAAACCTATCATTTAACGTAGATAGATAAATCTCTATAACTATTTCTCAACAAATCATTTACCCTTTTGTTCCGCTATTATGAATCACGTAAATATGATGCTGATCAGAGACCATCGCAGGACAGGGCTGTCCTGTTGTCCTGTTCTGCCAGGCAGGGCGATATATTGTTTTTGTCTTGCCCTGCAGCGGGGCAGGATAACAAAAACTTCCTTGATTTGCCCTGCGAGAGATTGATTTTTGAGATTTTCAAGCTTCAAAAAATCTTTTAACTAACTCTAAAAAAGCTGAAAATTTAAGGCTTTTAAATTTTTAAAATTTCATCTTTTTTAAACCTGCTAAAGTTAAATGAAAATTTTTCTTCTTACTTAAATCTGTTCTTGGATTTATTCTAGCTACTTTAGCTCACGAGAAAATTCAAACATAAAAGTGATCTTAAACTTTTGTCCGCCACTTTATATATGAAAATAAAAATGACAGCCAACTTTTCTAAAATTGATAATTAATAAAAAAAAAGATTCTGTTACGCACGAGAAACACATTCCGTATTTGTGATGAGTTTTCTTGAAGATAAAGCCTGTTAGGTTAAGAAGAAAAACTTTCTTTTGTCCTGAAGGGCGACCGCTCCAGCCAGACAGGGCAAGGCAGAGCAAAAAAAATTTTATGAGTAATTTTCTGACAGGGCAAGGCGAAAAAAGTTGCCCTACGATGGTCTCTGATGCTGATTCTTTTGGGCGAACTTGTAAGTTTTCTCTTCTTTGATACAAATGAACGGAAACCGTCTGATGGAAGTAGCGTCTAGTTCTGAGACTAATGATAGTATTACTCTAGTAACAGACTTACTTACTCGAATTCTATTTAGATCTTTCTAAGATTTCGCTTACATTTGTCTAAGATTTCCGACACAATCGTAATATATTTTCTGTTAATTTATCGAAAGTCTTTTTGTACGCACTCCAAGGTCTTCATAAACGATCATCGATCATCTGATCTTGTCTGTTTTATATAAATTGACTCACAAGAACATAATTGATCTGATATTCGTTCGAGTGTTTAAGATACAATTTTCAAATACTTTTAGCTTAATTAACTAACACTACCTTGAAAGACAAGTTAACAGAAAGATTAGTAGATTAAAGAAAACAAACATATAAATGCCATTTTGTATAGACGTTGTTCATGAATTTGAAAAAATAATAAAAGAAAAAGAGCAAAACGTCAATAACTATCAATTATATTCTTTCATACAATGCATCCTTAGAAGCATAGTTGAATGTAAGTTACACAGTATTTTGTGTTTGATCGTGTTAATCGAGAGAGACAGAGAAAGAGAGAGTGTAACTGAGTAAGAAAGAAAGAAAAAAAAAGAGCGAAAACAACATCGAATTAAAATCAAAAAAATTTTGTTATTTTTTAAGAAGAGTTAAAGAAAACAAGACAAAATTAATATGTTTATTTGTTGTGTACACCAACACTCCCACAAAAAGTCTCACACAAATGTGTTTATTCGTTTTTGAATCGTTTTTTCTACCGGCATGAATTAATTTTCATGGCCGAATACATATCTGTGCTCAATGGTATAACTGAGATTCTACGCTCGTTCTAATTATAACATACTCGTACACAAATAATTGCATTACAAGTAGCAACTTAAAATAATGATTAAGTTGTATAGACACTAAGATTAATCAACTAACTTAACTCGCTCAAGAATCAAATACTTTTTTTCTTCAAGCATACTGGATAATGGGTAATCTTTGATGCTGATGAAGCATCTTATATTCAAGAGCGCATATAGGCTCTTTTGAAGAGAAGTGCTGTGGAAATCGATTCTCTAGAGATCTATCACAAATTATTGAAACAAGAGATTCTGATCAGTTCAGTATGTACAGATAGTTCAACGAGTTAAAAATTTGACAAAATTTTCAGTAGTCTGAACTGTCAGTTTATTGCACCATTGTATCTGATAGGATCATGTTGTTATAATGTATCGCTACTAAACTATTGTTATTATAGAATAAATGAATGATGACCACTGAACAAGTTTTAACAGCATTAGATTGAAAGAAAAATCTAAAATTTCCAGCTTGTTTTTATTCAAAAGTTTTATAATTAGTCTGATGACATACTCACTACGTTGTGACAGACGATACAGTTTCTTCGGTTGGTCTTCAGGGCATTTTGGAAAGCGAATACGTGAACGCATCGAGAGTATGTATGAGGAGTTGAAGCAATTGAGTATAGAAACTCTCTGTCTGTCTAGTCTTCTGGTCAGAGTTGCGCTGAATGGCTAGAAACGATACAAATGACTATGTTAGAACCTTGTCCCCTAGTGAAGCTTTTTTTCTCAAGCGCATGATTTTGTTAAATTTCTTGAGTAAGAATCTCATTCGCGTGGAGACATTTCTTACTTATGCAAAAACGCATTTTTTTCGAATGTCATGCGTTTGACTTTCTTGACTCATGTGCTTGAGTTTCGTATCTCAAAAAACTCATGCGCATGAAGATAAAAAATTAAATATTTTGAACCTTTAGCGTCGAGGTAAGTACACAGCAATTTGAGACGAAGGAAGTGGGATAGTTAAATCGTCCTTCGTTTCGTTCTCACAAAATTGAACTATCTTTCTCATTAACAGTTTTGAAAGGTCTTTCTTCTCAGATAATGTACCGAATCTAAGGTCCTTTCCCCATTGAGTAGACTCAGTTAAAGATATCGACTGTGCAAGATCGTCAAATAAAAATGCACAAAAGTGAGATATGCACCAAATGACTGATGTTTATCATCACAATTATGAATTTCCTCAGTGTAAGATCGCTTTGCCTTTGGCGGCTTTCAGAATGTAGCAAGATCAGTTTGGTCCTGTCTGTGCACAGAGGACTGGGTGCCAAGCTTCCAAACGTGATCGTTTTCTCCACATGCAGTAAACGTTATCTGTCGCTAAAACTCACAGGCGAACCTTAAAAGACATCAACCTGTCTCGCTTATATTTTAAGATCAAATTCTAGTCACATGTCGAATCAAAACTGAGAAATACAACGCGGAGCGATCTTAGTCAAAATGACTTCTTTTCCTTTGTAGGTAAAGATTATGGCATGGTGAGAGTGCCAAATGATCGCGAAAGACTAAAAAACTGATTGCATTGTGTTCTCGAAGAAAAGTCCGAGTAAAACATGGTGTAATCAAGTCTAAAAAATTGAAGCTAGAGCAATTTACAGAGTGGAAAATCGATAATGCATGACTTTCTTGAGATATGCACATCGTTTTAGATATTTCTTCCCTCATGCGCATATTTCATGCAACTCAAGCGCATGAGACAAGAAAGTCGAGCACATACGTCAAGCGTTTTACAGGAATTCACGTGCATGGAGACAAATCTTGAGGTATGTGCTTGAGAAAAAACGCTTTACTAGGATCAATTGTAGAAAAGATATCTAGCTGATACTGTCATCGTCTTGCAGCGTATTCTTCCTTCGTTTCCTTCATGTATCAAGGAAAAAAGCGATTTTACACTTTAGGAGTTAAAGAAGCCATGAACAGAATAAAAAAGTCAAATTCGACTAACTAAAGTTGAATGAGGGACAGCAGGTGCTCGAATGTAACCAGTTCAGATGATACAGAACAAAAATATGTAT